AAATAAGAACCAAGATGCATTATGTAAAGGTACAATTCCCAATGAGAAATGTAATTGTGTTGTATACCTACAATGTACCAAGAAAAGAATTTAATACAAAAAAAAAAAGCACAGTAAATGCTTACGTTGTCTTGTTTTTTACATTTATCATAATAAAAGACACACTGACCTTAATCTCCTCACTTCAAACATATTATCCCATCATTCTTGCAACTTTCTGAAGCAGTTCTGGAAGTCTTCTTTTTTGAGTGTCTTTAATTGCATGCTGTGGCTGCCTCAATATCCTGAATCCATTCACAACATTTACCTTTCATGCTCATTCTGACTTTGGGAAAGAGCCAGAAGTCACACATGCCAGATATCCAGTGAATAAGGGGAATGAGGACACACTGTAATGTTTTTAGGAGTCTGCCTTTCTGTTGGATGACACTTGGCAGAAGCACTTAACATATTTTCTACTACGCCCCATAAAGACACTCACGAAAAAAGAACTTTCAGAACTGCTTCAGAAAGTTGCAGGACAATGGGATAAGTGTGTATGAAGTGAAGAGTGTTCTGAGGGAGATTAATGGCAGTGTGTCTTTTAGTGCATTAAATATTTAAATATAAATATTCACTGTATCATTTGATCACCCCTTGTAGCTTGGCTCAGAAAGCCAAGGAAGCAGGCAGGGAGACACCTCACTCACACAAGGCACCTGAGCATCTTCTTTAAGAACAGAAATGGAATGGAAGAGGGAAACATAATCTTCCTAGCATTTGTTAAAGGTATCTGGTCAGAAGCAATGGAATTTACAGACTTCAGAGCCTTGTCTGACATCCTTTTGTTTGCCAATAGCAAATCTCAGATGAATGAAAAACACCTACAAGAGCTTTGGGGGAACTAAAGACTGTGTGTGAGCTGGGTGTGGTGATGTACTCCTGTAATCTCAGCACTCTAAAAGGTTGAGGTAGGAGGAGCCCAAGTTTGAGCCCTGCCTGGGCAATTTACCAAGACTGTCTCAAAATTTAAAAAAATAAAAATAAAAAGGGCTGGAGATGTAGCTCAGTGCAAAGGCTCCGGGTTCAAACCCCATTTCCCTCACCCACATGCACATACATACAAACAAATGCTGCATCTGTAGGATAGGGAGGTCCACTACCAGAGTCCCCACTGCAAGAAGCAATTTTGCTTTCTCTTGAAAATCTTTCACAGCTTTCCCCCTAGAGATGAAATCTAACTCCTTAACAAAGGACTAAGAGGGGAGCTGGTCCCTTCCTTCCTGTCTTTATAACACAGGTCTCCAGTTCCCAGTTTGAGGGACCTGACACTGCTGGGAGATCTCCTTGGCACACACAGAGTGCTCATTCCACACCTCTGTTCCTTGATCCTGAAGATGTCCTTGCTTGGAATGCTCTTACCTAGATAAATTCTTATCTGCTGTAAGATGCAGCTCAGATTTTGACCCAGAATGCAGCCAAACCAGTCCTTAGAGGAACATGTATAGTCTTTAATATTTTATTAGAAAACAAAAAGACTGATAATAAATGAACTGATTTTCAATCAAGAGTCTAGGAAAAGACCTGTAAGCAAACCTAAAGAACATATAAGGGTAGCCGGTCATAGTGGTGCATACTTATAATCCCAGCAGTCAGGAGGCAGAGGCAGGAGGATTACCAAGAGATCAAGGCCAGCCTGGGCTATAAAGTGATTCCAGGGCCAGCCTGAACTACAAAGCAAGACCTTGTCTTAAAAAAAAAAATGTATAAGGGTGAATAAGGATAAAAGCAGAAACAGTGAAACCTTATTGTGTCTCTGCCCCTTGTAACACATAGGGTCTAAATTATTAACTCTCAAAACATTTTTTAACATAGTTTCTGATAAGCTCTACAAAACAAGAAATCAGTTTCTTATGTAACTGTGTCCTGAGGTTTGAAAGCCTGCAAAGTTGGGAAGTTCTTCCTAGGATCTCCCCTAACCTCCTGCTGCTCTGGGGCTATCTGGTAGGACAGAAGGCACAGGCATACGAACCTGTTGAGTCCTTGAACATCCAGGTGCTACTGGTGTCCTCCTCCAAAGGGGACTGGCTCTCTGACTCGCTGAATCGGCTTCGTCGGAGGGAGTGAGAGATAGGAGCCCGGCGGCGGCTTTTCTTGCTGAGCTGCACCCGGGTCTTGAGAGCACTAGAGTCCAGGACTGAGGTTTGCTTCATTGGCCGGAAAGAGGAAGAGGAAAACAAAAAAGAATAAAGAAAAAGCAAGAGAACCACCAGTCAGGGGCACTACCTCTGGGGGTGTACATAGCTTCCTTGATTGGTGAGAGGTTATTTAGTAGTTATGGGGGCCAGTGTTTTACATTTTATTTTATTAATTTTGCCTAGGGATTGAACTTAAGGCCTTGGCACTGAACTACATTCCCAGACCTTTTTAAATTTTTTTATTTTGAGACACAGTCTTGCTAAGTGCCCAGGCTGGGGTTCAAACTTGATCCTCCTGCCTCAGCCTCTCAGGGTGCTAGAATTACAGGCATGCACCACCCCCATCAGTTTAGGGCTGGTTTCTTAGACTTGGTGAGTGGGCGGGGTTGGCCAGGACAGGGAGACTGCTCCATATCCATGGAATCACTGCCTTGGTGGCCTCCACTCCAAACAGTCCCCTAGGAGACTGAAACCAAGACAGGTGTGACACATACACCCTAGGACAGGATGATACGTGGTTAGACTTGTGCTTAGGACACCGTGTTTGGAATCAGTCAAACTTCAAATTCTTAATCTACAAAATGGACAGGGGATTTTGCTTCTTGGGCTGTTAGTCTGTGCTGACACTCAGTGACAGCAACCAGTACCCCCATGCAGTGTGACACTGGTGGTTGTTGACACTGCTGTTGTTACTTACAATGGACATGGAAAAGAAATCACTTAGTGTTCTGGAGGGAATGTCCAGCAAGATATGCTAGGGCACTGTGGCATCATACAAATTCCTAAGTCAGAGCAATGCTTGGCAATCTGGAGACCTCAATAAATGTTGACTGAATAACCCAATACAACACCTAACTTAACCCTTACAACACCAAGAGAAGTGAGCAATAGTGGATGAAGACTGATCTTGCTTCTCTCTGTCTCTGCCCTCATCTATTGGTGCCCATGAGAGACCCTGGCCATGCATAGGATGGTGGACCTGTATAAGGTCCCAGAGGAGGATCCTGAGGGGGGACCTGCAGCACCCCTAAAGGGTATCTTTGTGGCCTTGCTCCAAGGAGAGAGGGACCATCTAGACAATGCAGATCTGTACCCACAGGAGGGCAGGTGGGCAGGTAGCTCTACTGTCACAGGAGAATTACAATGACACCTGACCTTGTGCCTGATCCCTGCAGTGGGGGTTCAGGGTGGGGAGAACAGGACCCAGTCTGGAAGGGTCTAGAGCAGAACACTATCTGACAGGGGCAGCTGGTATCCTGGGGTGGGAAGAGCTGAGCCCTAGGGGCTTCCCTGGTTCCCCCACAAAGGGTGCCCATGGCGCACTGTCCCAGAGCATTGAGGTGAGCTGCAAGGGTGCCAGCACACCCCCCACCCCTTCTGTGCCAAGCCATTACCTGGATTCACACCACAGAGTTGCAGGGGTCATAAAGGACATTGTTCTAAGCTTGAGAAGATAGAGTAGAAGTGAACAACACAAAGAGGGCCTCTCTGAGGCCCCTTGATGAAAATTAAAGCCCACTAGAAAAGTGAAGAAAAACTCTTCAGTAAAGGCACACCAGACCACCTTAGTTGGGGGAGCAACGGTATGGATCAGAGCAGCGCAGCTGCAAATAGATCCAACCAGGGCTCCTCCCTGATGCCAGAGGCTGGGGCACACCAGCCCAAGCCAAGGGTCTGCCTGGAAAACAGCGGCACAGGCACATAAGCAACAGCCAGGGGTTTGTCCCAATACCATCAGTAAGTGCACAAGACCCTAGCCAGAAGCTTGCTCACACAACAGGAACTGGGGTGCACAGCCGCCAGCCAAAGGCCCTCCCAGACAACAGCTACATAAGTGGGCAAGCCCTAGCCAGAAGCACACCTTGATACCATCCCAAGTGGGCACAGGCCCCAGCGAGAAGCCCACCCAGACAACAGGTCAGCTCAAGGATCCAAAAGGCCACCTTTCTGAACCCAGGAATTAGTGTACTGGTGAGCAGCAGAGAAAAGGCACCTCTGTGGCTTGCTGAGAATTGAAGACCACTGGGTGAGCAAAAAGTTGCCTCAACAAAGGCACAGCAGGCTGCATCTGTTGAAATGAGAAGACACGTAAACAAGTCTCAAAACCAGACTTCCAGATCACCTGAGGTAACCCCAAGAAGAAACAAGATGAACAATCTGATACTCAACCACCTGGACTCCCTGAACTGGCAACAAAAGAGGATCTGGAAAAAATCAAATCACAAATAATTTCTCAGGTAATAGCAGAGATTGTGCCCATAGTGCAAGACACGATTAATAAATCTAGAGAGGATACAGATAAAAAAAAATAGAGGATCCGAGAGACATGATGGAATCCCAACATAGGACACAAATGGAATCCATAAAACAGATGCAAACAGATTTCTAGGAGATTAAAAACTCCATTGAAAGTTTACGCAGCAGAATGAGCCAATCTGAGGACAGAACTTCAGATATAGAAGATAAGATTGCAATTAGTGACCAGGAAAAGAAAAATTGTTTTAAAATAGTAAGGGACCATGAGAAATCAATCCAGCAGCTGCTAGATGATGCAAAGAAGAATAACACAAGACTGATCAGAGTCAATGAAGAAACAGGAGAGAGTGCAGGTGACATAAAAAAAAAACTGTTCACAGAAGTGATGGTAGAAAACTTCCCAAGCAGGGGAAAAGAACTTGACATGCAGATAAGTGAGGCATATAGGACTCCATATAGCCTTGATCAAAAAAAAATCTACACATAGGCATATAATAGTTAAGATTCCAGAAACTCAACAGAAGAACAAAATTCTACAAGCAGTTAGAGAAAAGAAACAAATCACATACAAAGGAAAGCCCATCAGAATCACAGCAGACTTCTCAATGCAAACCCTCAAGGCAAGAAGAGCTTGGAGTGATGTATTTCAAGCCCTAAAGGAAAACAGACTCCAACCCAGACTGATGTACCCTGCGCAAAACTATCTTTCAAAATTGATGGAGAAATAAGATACTTTCATGATAAAGAGCACCTTAGAAACTTCATGAATAGCAAACCAGCACTCCAAAACATTTTAGACAATATCCTAGGAAAAGACAATGAGGAGCACAACCCCAGGAAGCCCAGCAGAATGAATCCATCGGGCACAACGAGAAATTAAACACAAAGGGGGAGAATCCAACAAAAAGAAAAAGTCATGACAAAGATAAGTCAATATGTGTGAGTTATAACCATCAATGTTAATGGTCTCAATTCATCAATCAAAAGAAATAGACTGGCAGAATGGGTCAAGAAGCAAGATACAACAATATGCTGCATACAAAAAACACACTTAATTCAAAAAGAAACTCACAGACTGAAAGTTAAAGGGTGGAGAACAATACTCCATGCGACAGGAACCTGAAAAAAACCAGGAGTAGCTATCCTCTTTGCAGATCAAGGGTTTCAACCCAAAATCTGAAATACTTCTGGTCCCAAGAATTTCAGATAAGAGACAGTCAACCTGTATGAACAAATCTATTGTGAACATGTGTTTTCAATTCTCTTAAGTAAAAACTCAAGAACAGAACTGTTGGTTCTTAACAGGGTGCCCATGCCTGAGGGGCTTCCCTTCCTGCAGCAGGTATCATGGACAGCCCTGCATAGGGCAAAGCCTCAGTGACAATGTCCAGCACACCCAGCCACCACACAGCAGGCTCTGCATGCCTGGGAAAGAATCCTCAGGCTGACCTCCAGGGCAGGAATCAGACTTCCTGTCTACCTGGAAGGTCAGGGTTTAGGTTAGCTTTAATTGGAACTCGTATGATTAGACGTGAGGCTGTGGAGCGAGGAAGCTCAGGCCCTGAAAGGCGAAAACATGTGCCCCAAGACACACAGCTGGAAGACAGCTGGCCCGGGCTACATGCATAAGTGGGTCTCATCTCAAAGACTGCACTCTGCACCCACAGGCCTAAGAGTAAACCCCTGAAAGGCAGGTCACTGGGAGACACTAGAACTTCCCTTAAGAAGAAATGATTGGCTGGGTGTGGGTACACATGCCTGAATTGGAGCTACTCCCAGGCTGAGGCAAGAGGATTGCAAGTTCAAGGCCAACCTAGGCAACCTATGGAGACCTGTCTCAAAAAATAAAAAGGAAAAATAATAAAAATAAAAATAAAAAGGGCTAAGGGTATAACTCAGTGATAGAGCGACCCTGGGTTCAATCCTCAGTACCATTAAAAAAAAAAGGCATGATTGACTGTTTCCAACATGGCCAACCTGGTGAGACTTACATGGATGAAGGAGAAGTCATCTGCCCCCTGGGCAGGGCAGGTGTCCTGTCGGGGCAGCGCCTCTGCCCCATCTGTAGAGTCCAGCTCAGAGCTGGAGTGGTCCACGCTGGCGCTCTGCTGGTCCCCCGCTGAGGTGGGCTCTGTCTGGGAGGACAGGGATGACAGGCGGCTTCCGGGGGGCTGTTTCCGCACAGATGTGGTGCTACTGTCAGGAGACGGAGACTCGAGGGCCAGGCTGCAAGAAAGGGAAAGAAGGGAAACGTGATGGTGGGAGAGCCCAGGCATGTTGTGAGTGGAAAGTCCACACAGGGGACTTTCAACACTTTGGATGTAGAAAATAATTTGAAATGTGTGGCTGATAACTTTTTATGTCACTTACACGTTGAAATGAAAGTCTTTCAGCTCTGTTGCTTTTCATCAAATTCATCTGAATTAAAACGTGAAGTTTAAAATTAATTCATTTTGCTTGTTTCTTTTTACTCTTTGGATATGGCCACTAGGGCATTTTGAATGACATATATGTCTCTTGAGTGCAGCTCATGTTCTATTTCTGTTGGCCATGGCTGAGGTAAAACAAATCACTATCGGCAGCTATCTGCTGCAGGAAATCTCCTGCACTGTTCCATTCACTTAATCAGTGAAGACTTACTAAGCACCTTCTATGTGCCAGGTGTTGTGCTAAAAACTCCATCATTTAATCCCCTTCACAATCCTATGGGGTTATTTAAAACTCTACACCCCCTACAATGCTATAAGAATTGTATAACTCATGAAATTAAATACTGACCTTGTTAAAGATACAGAAACTGAGGTACAAAGAGGTGACACTGAGTTCCCAAAGGGGCAGAGCTGGAATGGAGCCAGGCTATCTGACTCCAGGACCTGTGTGACAGACAGGCTCTCTGCTACCTCTCAACCCTCTTGCCATGAAAATATATTGAGGTGCATTCAGATAAGTAGAACCATAGCGAATAAAAAACTGATAGGCTGGGGATTTAGCTCAGTGGTTCTGCTGCCTGCCTCCCATGTGCAAAGACCTGAGTTCGATCCCTGGTACCAAAAGAAAACCCAACAAAAAACCCAAAAAAACTGATAAAGTCAAGCCATTGGTTCTTCCTTCCCAAAATGAACATATGCAATCTAAAGACACACAAGTTGAGAGCTCAGTCAAGCCTCCAAGGCACAGGAAACCGTTTCCCCGAGGGACCTCCAAGATGCACTGGTACAGTGTCCCGGGATTTTGCAAGGCTTTTGCCAGCTCTGAGCTGATTTCTCCACTTGGAAGAGGGAGATTGTGGAAGACAAGGGGCGAGAAAGAGGCAAACCCACAGAGGCTGAGGGAAATACCACCAACAGACAGCAGGGGGCAGCACTACCCAAGGTTGGATGCAGGGCTTCAAGGAGAGTTGGGAGGCGCAGTACCACCGGGAGACAGCAGAGTGCGCCCACCACCAGAAGCGTCCAAGTTGGACCGGGTCTCACGCGTCCTGATCTAAATGCTGAATGAAATTGGGTCTGGAGGTGGAAGGTGGCTCCCAGGGTCCCTTTGGAGATGGACAAAGTCTCCACACTGAGTCCAGAGCTCTCACAGGGCCGCTGCAGTGAAATTTAAGCTCATTAACTAAACCCTGAGATTTCACAGGTTAGGAAGGAGAAAAAAGGTTTTGTAGGTTTCCCTTTATTTTTCTTATCCATTCCCGATTCCATCAAGGCAACACAACTTTAAGTGGCTGCCAGGGGGCGTGGCCACTCCTGACATTGAGGGAGGGTGGTGGGAGACCTAGTCAGCCACATATACTCAGTCCCTGGACAGATCCTTCCTGTCTCAAACCTTATTTCCCTATGTGGAGTGTGATGGGGAAACTGAATCACTGAGTAAAAGGACTGGTAAGTGGCCCTGTAGGGAGTTGAACTCTGGTTTCTCTGACTTCCAGGACTTTGCCCAGAGTCTGGAGCCATTGGTTGGGAAGGCATGGATTAAAAACAGCAGATCTGCTCAGGTGGCCAGGATGCATTTGCCATGCTCTTCCCACCCAAGAGGAGAAAATGTTTGCAACAAGGATAGGTACGGTACACAAAACCTCCTGGTACGTGCCAGGTGCTCTTCGCAACATGAGTCCCTCTTCTACCAACCCCTGTGCTGGGTCCTTTGGTTTTCTCTGCTGTAAAATGGTAAGAGGATCAAACATCACTGTGCTCGGTGAACGCCTGTTAAGTTCTTCCAACAGTGCCCAGCACACATGCCTAGTAAACCTTGGCTGATTTATAAGCATCACTCCCCTTCTGTGGAGAAGGAAACTAACTGGGAAAATATAACTAATCTACTCAGGGTCCTACACCCAGTTCGGGTGGGGCTGGACTCACACCAGCCTGCTTCTGAATCTGGGTTACGCTCCACAACCTTTAGCCAGAATGTGCCTTCTAGTCAGCCTGACATCAGGGGCCCCACCAGCCCTGAGCAGTGGAGACCCTAAATGCAGACGTAGCCTGTGAAACCTTATGTCCACTTTTGTCCCTATGTTTGTAAACATTACACAGAAAGACATCTAGGAAGATGACAGAGAACATTATTGAAAGTACATCAGTGCTGTGGGGTTATGGGCAGTTTTCATTCCCTTTATAATTTGTATAGTGTTAATATACATAATGCAAAGGCCACCATGAGCGACATTCACAGTGCTCTGCAACCATCATCTGTTTCCAGGATGTTTTCATTGCCCCAAAAGGAAACTAGTCTCAGGAAGCAGTTGTACCCCATTCCCCTAGCTGTATCTCTCCCTATGGATCTGTCTATATTGGACAGCATATATTTATTTATGTATTTATTTTTTGCAACACAAATGGTTTCCTCTTATAACCACAAAGAGGCTCCTGTGACACAGATCAACTCTAGCCCAGATGTCCTCATGGCAGCAGGGGACCTGCACACATGCCTTACCTGTCCGCACTCTGGCACTGCTCTGCCCAAGTCCCATACTGGCCGTCAGCTTCATGCACGAGGGTATCAGTGTCCTTGGCCTCAGTGGGTCGCCTGGAGAAGCACTGCTTCAGCTGGTCCTGCAGAGACAAGTGGATAGGAGAGTCCATCAGGGAAACACTTGGTGCCCTTGGAGTTTTGCTCAGGACATCGCCAGAGGCAGGACTTTGCATGTTCCAATGGGCAAGCTGGGATGATGGGATCCCAGATCTGCACTGTCCCATGGGGGTCCCCAGCCCTTCCTCCCCCTCCCAGAGCAGCTTGGCCCTTCTCCACCTCAGTGGCCCCAAGACTGACCACACTGATGATGGGACCCCCCTGCCCCATGCCTCCACATCACTGTCACCCAACATATGTCCCACACAGTTCTGGGCTGGGGCCAGGAGTCAGGCAATGCCACTGACATGAGGTCACTTGCCAGATGGTGGTCCCACCATAGCGCTATGAGGTGGCTTTTACTACAACCCCACTTTGCATCTCAGAACAGGGAGGCTTAGAGAGGCAAAGAGATGTGGTGTCCTGAATCAAAGAGCCAATGAATAGCAAGGGAGAATTCAAACCCAGGCTCAAAACTGCAAGTAGAGCCAGGGTTACCTCAGGAGATTCACCTCATAAATAAGGTAAGCACATAAGCTGTTTTGTTGTTTTGTTTTTTTGAGACAAGGTCTTGCTATTTAGTTTAGGCTGGCCTTGAACTCACTATATAGCCCAGGCTGGCCTCAGACTCATAGCAATCCTCTTGCCTCAGCCTTCTGAGAGCTGGGATTATAGGCATCGCCACTATGCCCAGCTATATAAGCTGTTTATACCACCTTCGCTTGGTAGGTATTCTGCTAAGTCTGTGTGCACTGCAAGTCTGATCCATGTGTCACTACCCTACAGGCCCTGGCAGAACTTCAAATCAGAGATGTTTAAACTGAGCTCTCAGGCCATGGGGCCTCAAGATCAACCACCAAGATGAGCCTGAAACTCCTAAAATCTTTCTGAAAGTCTGATTTTTAAAGTTTGCTTTAACTGAAAGTTCTTTCACTTCGGTTTTACTTCACAGGCTCTGACCTAAAAGCTTACTGACCGAAGGCAGGTATAGAAAAAGCTTACTGACCAAAGGCAGGTATAGCTACAAGGTGGTCCAAAAATGCATAGGACAAATTAGAAGACAGACAGAAGAGTGGAGCCACCCACCCCTCCTCCACCCCTATGTACCTCAGTCTTGTCAGTCATCAAATGCAGACAATGACATCCTAGAATTTAAATCTGAGAGGACCCTCAGGGGAAACTGAGGCCCAAGACTGGGACAGCCAGATGGCTCCTTTCAGCCCCTGACATTCCACCTTCCCACCTTCCCATGATGGTTCACAAAACTCTGGTGAGGAAATGTACAAAAAATGCTGTTCAAAACCTCAAGAACTTGGCAAGTTTCAAACCCACTTGCTTGGACTAGTTGAGCAAGCCCCAGCCCACTGGTGGGTAGAAATTCCTGGCCTGTGTCTTGCAGCCCAGCCTGATGATGGCCTCAGCCCAGCCCCTGAGGGGACAGCTCCATGATGACTATGCCGGGGCACAAGGCTAACTGGAACCTAAATTTAAGGACTATGTTAGAACAAGTCATAACACATGTGCTCAATTTAAAATGCACAAGTTTAGTTGATATGGCCTGTTTAGTTCCAGGAACTTATCTCAAGGAAATCATTAGACACGCTTGCCAAGATCCATAGCACCGCAGCTCCTGGCAGGATTGGTTTTCATTGCAAAATATTTGAAATGACCTAAATATCTAATAAGATGGGGCCTGTGAAATACAAAAGCCACACAGTGGAGTAGAAGCATGGAGGAAAATGACATTCATTGAGAATATTTACTGTCACAGAAAGACGTGTGCCACACACCAGCAAATGATTAAAAAAAATTTTTAGAGGTATCAAAGTGATGCCTGTTGTGAAACTAGTTTTGTAAAAAATAAACAAGTACATGTGAGTGTAAGCAAAGAAAAACATCTGCAAGATTCCTTGGCAAACAATTAACGGTGGTGAAATCACAGGCTTTTTATTACTGGTGGTGATTTTATTTAGTATCTACATTTGTAAATTTATATTCTGATAGAATTTGATGATAAAAGTAAAAAGTAATACTTCTTAGTACTATCATATTATAAACATCATGAATTAAGAACAAATCAGATAGGGGCTCTTTATTAATCTACACCAGAGCTCAGTACTTTTTCTATAAAGAATCAGATAGTAAATATTTTGGGCTTTACCAGCCATAGGAGTCCCCTGTCCCCATACTCAACTCCACCACTGTTATCAGAACAGCAGAGACTGGTATGTAAATGAATGTGCTTGGCTGTGTTCCAATAAAACTTTATTTACAAAACAAGCAGTTGGCTAAATTCATCCTCAGGCAGTAGTTTGCTGATACCCAACCCCTCCAAAGGCTACAAAGAGGTGGGGCTGTTCCATTCACGACTGAACCCAGCACCTGGAGTGATACCTGGTCTCTCACAGTTGTTGAATGAATCTGTTGGGGAACGTGATTCTGCCCTAATATTTTCTGCCTCAAGTAGGGCTGAGTTCCTTCACCAGAAAAGGCAGCAGAGTAAGGGAGGGGCGGAAGAGAGAGCAGTACAACTGTGTCTCGGGGGTGTGACACACTCACCTAACAAAAAGCCCTGAGTCAGGCCATGCAGCTCCCACAGCTGACAGAGCAGTTCCCAGAAACCCAAGCCATGAGTCCACCCCTTTCAGCAACTCTGCACTTCCCAGCTCTGCAGGGCTGAGGGCCACAGGCCCAGGTTGGCATGAGGAACCTGCTGTGTCTCACCACCTACCCACCCGGGCCCCAGCCCCTACCCACCCTGCGTCCAGGTCAGATCTGCCCACGGACAGGGCAGTACAGTAATGATAGTGACCAGGCTGCCAATGTGTCCATCACTAAGCAGTGGAAAGCTGTGGGGAGCTGTGGGGCCCTCATGGGCCCATTTTCTAGAGCAGGAGATTGAGGCACAGAGTAGAGATCTAGTTTGCCAGAGGTCACAGGCTTCAAAAGTGGAGTGGCTGGGGTTTGAACATGGGCTTGCCTGATGCCCAAGCTTGTGCGCCCCAATGCTGTCATATTTTCGTCCCCACTGGACCTCCAGTGACCATTTTTCAGAGGGAAAACCTGAGGGCCAGCCAGGGAAGGCGAACTCAGCACTCAACAGGAAGGCAGAAGGAAGGGAGGGAGGAAGTTAGCTAGGAGATAGGAAAAAATAAAGGAAGTTGGGGGCAAGGAAGGGAGCCAGACCAGGAAGGAATGGAAGGGCACCAGACCCTCCCCCAAAGCCACCAGCAAAAACTTGCAGTATCCTCCCTGTGTGTCCCAGCCAGGAGGGGCTTGGGAGGGGCTCTGGGCAGACCACTCCTCTTGGAGCTGGATCTTCTTCTGCCCTGGCCCACTGGTGGGGTGGGTGGCAGGGGACAGGTGATGCTTCCCAGCGAAAGTGTGGGACGCCAGCCTCTGACCCCTCTCCATGGTCCAGGAGCAACTACGCCAGTGTGGCCAGAGGCAGGCAGCATGACCAGGTGTAGCTGGATGTGGCCATGAGTAGCCAGGTGTAACGGTTTGGGTAGGGGCGTCGCTTGGGGGTCTGGGTTGGTCACCTGGCTGGAATATACTCAGGACACGCTATGGGAATCACTCAGCAAGGTGGGCAGGCCTAGAGGTTGTCTCAGGTTGGTGGCAAGCTTGGGGTGGGGGAGGGTAGAGAGAAGCAGAGCAACAGGCAGGTAAATAGAGGCAGAGAGAGAAACAAGATCATGAGACCAAGCCCAAGAGAGAAGCATTCAGCACAGGCACAGAGAGAGCCACACGGGGCAGAGAGGTGAGGAGGCATGGGTGCCCAAGCCTCAGAGGAGGAGCTGACAGGCCCACTGGGCTGTGGCTCCATGGCTCCACCCCTAGGACACACTGGTGAGCACCTGTGGGCTCCTGGTCGGGCTCCATCTCCTGCCCCATGGTCTGAGCAAGGCCAGTGACCTTGAGCCAGGCCCTGCCCTTCTCTGACCCACAGTTTCCCTTCTTGGTGAGTCAGTGGCCTGGGATCAGAGGTTTCAGTGGCCTTCTGCAGCTCAACAGCTGGCCTCTGGGTAATGCCCAGTGCTCACAAAGCCTATGGGCATGAGCATTGTTTCCCATGAGAAGGGCTGGTTTACCCTCCCATACACCAGCACGTTCAGAGTGCTCACTCCCTGGGGCTCGAACCACGTCCCTTTCACCAATGCCCCACGGATAAGCCAACAGCACCTGGCCTTAGCAACCTCACCCACAGCTTTTGGGTCCCAGCTATGGAAGTGACCAAGCTGAGTTCTCTAACACGGTGCAGATAGGAGGCAGGACAGGTCAGTAGCTCTGAACATAGACTCTGTGATTCAGCAGCAGCCTGGGGCAAATTCAGCCCTGCCACTTGCTAGCTGTGACCCAACCTCTGTAACCCTCGATTTCCCACTCCAGGAAATGGAGCTGAGGAGAATGCATAGGGTGCTGGGAGGATTCCAAGAACTGTCTGGTGAGTGCTTACATGTGCCTGGCACATGGTCAGGGCTGAGCAGACGCCAGACCACATGATGGTGATGGTGTCCATTGTTACCTCCCCAAACATTGTCATGAATACTATAAGAACATGCTAGCAGGCCCCTCCATTCCACTAAGAGCCACAGGAGCTGCCTGCATCAGAGCCCTGAGTGTCCCTTGACCTGGACACTAGGCAGCCACTCCCCTTCAAGGGCACCAGGGCAGGACGAATGCCCATGACAAAGACCTGATCCCCAGCTCCACAGGGCAGGTGAGCCATTACCATGACCCACAGGCTGTGAAATGAGGGCTCCGGCCCAGACATGCTGTCTCCAGGGGACAAGCATTACCCAAAGTGACAGGAACGTACATCAGCAGTTGGACTGCAGGAGGTGGGTTTGGTTTCATGGATGGGAGTGCCTGGCTCGTCTGTAGTGAGGCTGCCTTGCAGACTATAAACAGAAAGACAGCTGGGCTGCGCCATGGGGCTCTGGACAGTCCCTGGGGGGGTGTCCCCTGGGGCAGACAGCAT